ACTTCCGGAAAATATCGTCAGGTGGAAAGCGTGGTGATCCCTTATGGCAGCATCATCTTTGCCTGTTTTCAGGTATTGCCATCCCCGTCATCGGTGGTCTCGATCTCTTTGGGTGGAACTTCGTCTTTGAGTGGATCCTCGGTGTTCAAGCAAAAGGCAAAATCCGCCCCGTGTTCACCGGCTTCCAATGCCATTATTACGAAGAGGCCGAGATCTCCGGGTTCCCTGTCTCCACTTCCAAGGTTATGTCATCTCGACACGACAAACCCTCCCATGCCTTCTCAAGAGGTCTTGGAATTCGGGGGTGATGCCAATCGATCGAAAAAACGTCAACGACAACAAACTTCCGAACACTCCATACCAAACAACTCCATGTCGGTGAAAATATCCTCTCCACCCCGAGAATTGCTCGCATATCGTGAATACTCGCAATATCAATTCCAGTCGCCACCACAACCCAAGGAACAACATACCATACCCGATTTAACTCAACAGCAACACGCATACTATGCATCTCACGGCTCGCAGCAACCGTCATCGACTCACTTCATGCCAAACTATTCACAAGGTAATAATAATAATCATAACCAGAATCAGCGCAATTCTGCATCGTTGCCGCCACTGTCGTCACAACCACCCTCCTCATCACAAGCTGACCCTATCCAACCTCAGGTGTTCACACAATTTGCCCCACAACAACGTAGAAATCCTAATGTGGTCCATGGCAAGAAATGCGAGAGCTGCCACACCAGCTCCAGTCCCGAGTGGAGAAGGGGGCCAACCGGTCACAAGACGTAAGCATACTCACCGTTGATCAATTCAACCGATGTGATTTCTTTCTGACATACGCTTATTTTTTTTCCACAAACTTCATGTAGTCTCTGCAACGCATGCGGGTTAAGATATTCGCGTACGATTGCGCGTGAAAATCGTAAACGCGAACAAGCTCAGCGTGAACAAGAACAACGTTTTCGCGAGCAACGAGAACGCGAAGAGCGCGCTCGAGAAAAAGCTGAGGCCATGATGATGCAGAGGACCATCGAACCCTTTGGTCAGTACAGGCCCAGTAACAATGCAGTTCCACCGCATCATCATCACCACCACCACCACCATCAGTCACCGCCGCTTCACTCGAATCATTATCGCTCGACCACCCTACCGATGACCCATCATCAACCTCCGCCCCATCCCCATCATCAGGACTCACCACCTTCAAGATACGCGACATCTCCGATGCAGATAAAGATGGAACATCCGCATCCGATGCATCCCTCACCGACTTCCATCGGTGACAGAGGATTTTCCCTTCAGTGCTCATCACAACAGATATATTATGATAGATCGAACGTGGGAGGTTCGAGTTTTCAAGGCGGAAATCGTGGTGATAGCATCAGCGAATCAAATGGTCACCCAGGACATGAGGGTGAAAGATACTCAATGAACACGATGAACATGCCCCCCAAAGCTTATTACGGACGTGCTCAGTAGTGGGGTGTGCTCAGCAGCGGCGAGCGTGGGGATTGACCTCTTTTCTTCTTTTTCAAAAATAAGATTTAAATACTTTAATTTTGTAAATTTTTATGCTTTCCTTTGTACATTTTTTTTTTCTATAAAGTTGTCTTGTCTTTCCCATTATTCACAATATACAAGATAAAGATAAATATAAATATACATATATAAAAGTATTAACCCTTATTATAAACCAAAGATTCTGCGCGTCACTGTGTACAAGTGCCACGACAAATTATCAACACACACAAAATCACATACATATGAACAGAAAAAAATTTTTTGTAATAAAATAAATCATTTTTCAATCGCACGGACTCCTTTTGCATTCGCAAATTTTTTGACACGTGTGCGTCCAAGCCGGCGATGATGTATGCATTTTAGAATAAACGGCAGCGTGTTCACGAAAAACCAATAAAAATCTTTTGGCAAGCGCGAGTGTTTCCGAAAACATGGAACAAAGGGAGGCATTCTGGTTAAATCAGCCCTGTACCCGTTTTCGCAGGTGTTTAATAAAATATGACAACCAATCCAAAATTCTTTGCTCCTACCATTCAGCACCGCAAGTCGAAGGCTTTAGGTGCATGACGAAACGCCAATTCTCCCTGTTAATCGGCTTCCGACCATCAATGAATTGAATTCAGAATCCAATACACCTATGCGTGAACGTGAATCATCCTCCAATTCCGACACGTTGTTCTCATCTCGTTTATCCCCTTCAAGATCGTCAAACTCGGGATCCGAAGCATAGATGCTGATCACATCTTCTTTCTCGTCCTCTGCGTCGACAGTAATCTCCGGTTGACTTTGAACATAATCCAGCAGCTCACTGATCTTGGACCTTTTTCTTCCAACTTCAATGTAATTTCCGTTCCAAACATACCTCACTCTTGATGACGTGAACCCCATCTCACTCGGCTCTCGGTTGTTTCCCATGCGATTCCTCTTCCTCTCGTTCACCACGTTCTCATGTCTAACCTGTAGGATTGTTTTTTTTTGTTCCACCGTATCTATCAAGCGGTAGCTCCCCGTGGCTCCCCCCTGAATTAGGCGAATTCCCTGACGTTCGAGGCACCTCAAATTTTCGTCAATCCACGAAACGACCTTGATCGCTCCATAGACCGGATTTGTTCCTTCCCTGATCGCTCGTCTCACTTCACCCCGTATGCTGTTGAGCTCCGATCGAGATAAAACGTCCGACCTCCGGATGTTCAAAGTGTTGAGAGCTTGTAAAGGCCCGGAGCCGTCGTAAATGGTTTTTGATTCGCGTGAGGGCCGTTCGTGAAGGAATTTTCCAAAATTGATTTTAGAACCCATGTGCTTAAATCGAGGCATTCCAAATCTATTCAAAGGTGAGATGAGAAACAGAAAACGATTATTTTGATCGAATGGTGTTGTATATGAGATATCTCCTGAATGTACATACCACGTGAAGAAAGTAATTGCCACGTTTAAAAAGAGAATGATTGCAAAGAAAACCCGTTTACATATTACTTACTCATATGGTTTACTCAAGGAACGTAAATACCGATACTCCACGAAAATAAATATTATTAATCATTAAAAAGATGACGAATTTTGTTATCATCCCCTAGTGTCATTGAGATTAATGCCTGGATGTCATCTCATTTAAGGTAATTATTTACGTTGACCAACCCGCCATCACATCAACGAGACTACCCGTGAGCCGGCAGCGAAATACTGTATGTATTTACACTTGCAAAATAGCCAACATCTCCAAAGAACCAAATGACCAAGAATGTCATCATATTAATTTTAAATAATTTAACAAAGTATAAATTAAATTTATTCGAATTTTTTTTTTTTTTCAAGATTTACAAATATTGTTTTCTTATACACACTGTTAATCTAATTGTAAAATTGAATTTACGCTTAATTACGGTATTTTAATCTATTTTCATATAATTTCACTCAATTTTTTTTAAAATTTGATTCTAATTATTTTTTTCTTGTCTTTCATTAATTAATTATCATCTTTTTCAAAAAAATTTTTTACAATTAAAAATCGATACAAGTAATACGTTACATGGATAAAAGTATTGCGTATTATAAATCTATTATTATACAAAAATATGCACGATAAATTTATTTCAAATTTTAATGTTGCTAAGTATATTTTGAATAGATACAGTATATATATATGATTTTTATGTTTTCTTAATATGTATTTGTCAAACTAATAAACATAAATTGATACCTGCAATATTTTAATTTAAAAAAAATATATATGCTTTTTAAAATCAAAAATTTAAAATTTTTATATCCAAATAATTCTATATTTACCTATTAAATAAATATATAAATACCGTATATCATTATAAAATATAAATAAAAACACATTGAAATCTAAAGTATACTTATTATGTAAAAAATTCTATACAATAATAAATTTAAGAGACATGATGTTTTTATTTATTCAAATAATGTGTTTTTTAAAACTAAAATATTAAAAATAATTAATTTGTTTATATATAATTTAATAACCACTTCTTAAGAAAATATAAAACTTATATATTATATATAATATACTATATTATTTTTTTAAACTTGTAAATTATTTTATTAATTAAGTTTGTTTAAACTTATAAAATTATATGAAAGATATTGCATATAAAAAGTTTAGTATTTTATATAAATTTAATATTATTATTATTAAAAATATTTTAATTAATAATTATTAAAATACAGTATAGTAAATAAATTAATAATGATTAAACTTATAAATTAATAGTAATATTATTATGTATAAAACCATTTAAATATATGATTCAATATAATAATTTAATAAAAATTATAGCATTGATTATCTTTTCATCTAAATATATATATATATATATTTACAGTATATATATATAATTAGATAACTTAATATTAAATTATAAAAAATGATTAATAAATCAATAATACAATAGATAGTGTTTTCTGGTTTCCAAATGCATATCTCTAATTCAATATTCACAGGAAACAAAATATATAAAATTATTCTTTATTTATAGATTTATTGGTTTTTCTACAAATATCATTTTCAAATATTTGGATCCTGATCAAATTTAATTAGGCTGTATAAAGATAGAATCTCTGGTCTTTTTAATAATTATTAACTAAAAACAAGTTAAAGCAAAAAAGGTTACATAAAAAAAGACTTCTAATATAACTTCAATAAAAGTCCAAAATTTTATTGATATAACAAATTTTGTAATATAAAGAATATTTTAGCTTGAGACTATTCCAATTTAACATTTGCTTAAATGAAGAAGACTTAATAAAAAAAAAATTTGAAGTTACAAGTAGTAACAAAAAATATAATATTTTTGAGATTCCAGATAATTAATTCTGAAAAATATATACAATAATTACTAGGATTTAGATTAGGTTAGATAGTATAAATTAATAATAGGATTTATATTTTTTAAAAATCTTATTCAGTATTGACCTATGGGTCCATAGCACAGTGGTTAGTGCTCTACAGGTCAGATCACAAAATACCAGTTCAATCCCATGTGAAGACAATTGAATAGAATTAATATGGTATCTGATACCATAACCAGTTATATGCCGTTTCTCATAAGAAGCCATTTCATATGCTGATTTGGTAGGTGTTAAGATTGTGATCTCCAGAAAAGGAGTCGTGGTATGACGATCATCCGGTTGGTGCTACGATGATCGCCAGAAGTTGGATAATAAAAAGGTGTAGAAGGTGTCCGGTTTAAGAAAAAGAAGACTTGATAATCACTCCCTGTGATACCTGGTGTCTCTTCCTGCAAGTTACCGATAGTCTGGTTTGGGTTAGAGGTTTCCTCTACAAAGTTCTATTTGTCATAATAGGTACTACCCCCCAGTTTCTCCTTTCACTTCCCCTTAAACATTTCTGATTAGTAAATAGAACTTAATATAAAATAGCAATACTAATGGAGCATATGTATATTAGCCTTGACTTGTTTGAGATGGTGATCAATAGCAAAAAGCCAATATGGAAGTAAAATCCAATAATAATCCATAGTGGTCTAGAGTAGCTCATAGATAGTAATTACCTGTAATACATGTAAGATACATATGTGAACTAAATAAAGCCAATGCTAGGTAAGGCCCTGCTAGTCGATAAAAAAAAAAAAAAATCTTATTCAGTATATTGATCTATTCCAGTAATAGTAAATTGATATAATTGGATAAGGCTATAGGTAAGAGAGTGAATTAATTTAAATAATCTTGTAGTCATATAATTGGATATAAATTACTCAATAAAAATTATATGCTACTAATATCTTTTATCTAAAAAAAAAAATTAAATTATAAAAAATTATAAAAATTTTTTTTTGATTTTTTTATTTTTTAAAAAATTCTAATGAGACAGGAAATGGAATACTTATTAAATTGATTTTTTCTTTCAAGAAACTTTTTCCTTTTCTTTATTATTATTGAGAATAAAAACTCTTTCTTAAAATAAATTAATTGATTGCCTCAATTCTAGTTAATAAATATTAAGAAAAGATTAGTATTAGATATATTAGGTAAAAAACTGGTTCTTCTTTTTTAAGATAAAAGTTATCTTTATCAATTTCATTTTAAAAAATCATTCTCAAGTTTTATTATACATAAGTTAACTTTAAGAGTTTGATTATAAAAATTCAAGTTATATAAGAATAAGATTCTTAATTGAATTTATCAAAATTAATTATTTTAATAATAAAGATTGTATAAAGAAAGATCTTTGATTTGACTTTTTTCATTTACATATGTGAATAAAAAAAAATTAAAATTAAAATCAATTTACTCTCTTCAAAAGATTAATAAATCTTTTTCATCAATTATATTTTACTAAAATTATATTATTAATAATCACAATTATAATATAAACAACAATAATAATAATAATAATAACAAACTATATATATCAATATTATATAATCAATTTGAAAGATATTACTGATATAAATATAAATATATTGTAAATATAGAAAACTATTTAATAAACATTAAATATATAAAAATTGTATCTTGTTTAACTATATGGCTCTTAGATTTAATAGCTAATACCAATTAAAACTTTTTGAAATATCTACTAGAAAATTTAAAAGTCATATTTCAGTTGGTTTTTTAATCTCTAGATTAATAACTTGTATTAATTAAAAAACCATTTCAAAGTACTTATTAGAAAGTAGATATTAACTATAAATCTTTTTCTTATTCATAGTTATATAAATAAAGATATAATATAAAAAATTAATTCTACAATATTGATATTTCTTTTATTTTTCTATTTTTTTATCTTGTCTTTTAAAATTGCATAATCAATATGTTATTTTTAATTTCAATGGTATTGTTATAAGAGTTTTATTAAATAATATTAAATATATAAATAGTATATTGCCTGATAATAACTATAGATTGAAAAGATTCATTTTAATATTATTGATAAATAAATAATTCTTGTATACTTAAATATAATAATATTGTTAAAGACTGGTTTTCTAAAGAATTGCTTAAAAGAAAAAGTTGAAGAAAATATTAATTGCTTAAAAATATATTTGCTGTCTTGTGATAAGTTATAGATTTTATTAATTAGATTTAAAAGTTAATATTTGAAATTATATTTAATGAATTAAAAGATACTTATAGTAAATATGTAATTGTACTTATTAATATTATTTTGCAAAAAAAAAACAATGAAATAATACAATGCCGGCTGAAAGTAATGGCGGATGGTTTTTTTTAGATTAAATGATTTTTTTATTTATTAAAAAAATTTTTT